TTTCATATTCTTTGAGCGTAAGGAATCGTCCCGATTATTACAATTGTCGCTTAATATATTGTTAYCAAAGAGGATCATGCCGAATATGTTGCAAAGTTCTCTTCAATTGTCAATATACTTAATTAAAGTTCTCACTTATATCGATTTGTAAAACCTCGGATTTGAACATTGAATTAAAATCTCAATTGAGGATTGGTTTTCGTCATATAATGTTTGGATGATGACTCTTTTGGATGAAGTTTTTTTGTGTAAGTTTTGTCGTGAATCACTCGTTTCTACAACGATTTTTTTAATTTAGAAAACACAACGTGCCGCCAAAAAAATACAATTATGAATGGTGTTGTAAACATGCAGCTGGAAAATTAACACGGTGATAATTGATCTCTAGTTTCATCTCTGACGTTCGTGATGAAAAGGATATCACTKATTCTACTTTTCAATGTATAAACCGGGTTATGACTCTTTGCTTTCTTTCACAATATTGTATACATCGCTTGTTTAAACCTTATACAAGAGATTTTTGAAAAAAAACATCATTTTCCAAGGATGTGTATTTTTACGATAGAATAGGAATAAACAACACATTGTTAAAGCTTCATACACTTTGAGCGGGACGGGACAATGTGTAAGGGATCGTCCTTATCTACACTTAGAAACGTAGAATCAGTAATATCCTTTTCATTACAAACAAGATGAAACTAGGGATCAATTATCACCTTTTAAGGTGATAATTAAAATTAAAATTAAAATTAAGTATTAAAATACTTTTCCGGCTGCATGTTTACAACACCGTTCATAATTGTATTTTTTTGACGGCACGTTGTGTTTTTGAATTAAAAAATTCGTTGTAGAAACGAGTGATTCACGACAAAACGTACACACACAAAAACATAATCCAAAAGAGTTATCATTCAAACATTATATGACGAAAACCCAGAGGAGGGTTTACTAATATCCATAACACCCCTGCGCGTCTAGTTTTTCAAGATGGCGTCGCTTCGAAGGTCATGGTCATTCGTGTGAGAACTTGAGAAGTGAGAACTTTAATTAAGTATATTGACATTACAGAGAACTTTGCAACATATTCTGATCTTTTATGATAACAATATATTAAGCGATAATTGTAATAATCGGGTTATGAATGTTTGCTTTCTTTCGCAAAATTGGATACATCTTGATACATCGCTTGTACAAAGCATTGATCGATTAAGAAAGAGGACATCAGAAATRACAAACATATATGACACCTCGGGAGGAGATATTAGTTAAAGGAGGAAGTTCTGCTTGAAAGCAACTTCAATTAACATATAACAACAAAACAACAACAAAACAATACATCCTAAAGAAACTCCTAAAGAAAGGAATGTAAAGGGAAATGAAACAAATGAAAAGTTTTAACTCTTAAAAAAATAAAGAAATTGCTTTTATTTCAAAAATGGAGGATTGTAGCTCTTTTTGAATCCGATTGGAYGTCAAGTGATGGATTCTATTTCTTGGTTCTTTTTTCATATTTTGTTGTTGTTGTTGTTGAGTTTCTTTCCTTCTTTTTCATCSTCTTATTTTTATTGTATAGATACATCGTTTAAGAGTGATATCACCAAAACGTCTCTGCGGTAGTCTTTTACGTTATGCGTAATTATAACTCGAATATTGGTCAATACTAGGAAGCTATCCATCAAAGACAATTGAGAACTCAAAACAATTACATCTTTACTAAAGAGCACTTGGTCTACAAACAATGATGCAATTGTTTGACGTTGAAAGTTGACACTCCAAGGGGCATCGATCGAAAAGAGCTTCTAAAGGGCTACATTGACATGACAGAGGCAGCAAAGCAGATGTTTKCTGCTTACAATGGTAACATATGCTTGGTTATTACTTTAAAATAAGTTCAAACTACAATGAATGAAAAAAATATATCAACATGAAACAACATTTCGGAAGTCTTTTTGTTGCTTGTATACGATATAGCAATTCTATATCTACTCATTTTATCAATTTTAGTCACATTTAATATGAGTGTCTTAATGTATCAATTCTTAATCCGTTTTCTTATGAGTTCTTTGCATAACCAGGTCGTCTTGATAGCTACAACTCTTAACAGAATTTACTACTTTGTTGATTTTCCTTGAATCTCAATGAAGATCTTTGAATCCACTCACTGGTTGCTATGCGCTTGAAATTTTTTAGACAGGATTGTCTTATATCTCTAAATCGTATCAAATAAATAATAGGATTTAAGCTTGAGCTCAGTGAGTAAATCACGAACGATAGCATTATCAAAACAAGCGTCTCCCGTYGCGTATGGATGTAAGTCATCAAGACAACCGTTAAGAGAATCGGSAGGAAGCAAATTAARAAACATCCCARCGAGATAATCATCGTCTTCAAGGTTCKTTTATACTTCTCTGCATCRAAGTTGCTTTGTGAGCTTTGCTGTAGCTGGGCGCTGACTTGTGACGTGTAACGACGAAGTGCTAAAAACGATCTGATGTAGAACACACAAGTGAAAAGTAGTACTAATATTCCCATCAAAGAGAACAATGTTCTCCAATAGAGGGTCAATTCTTCAATAACCGTGGCGCTTATTGCTGTTGTTACAGCTACAGTCCATGTGACAGAAATAAGGAGGACTACCCTTTTCTTGGAAACCACAATGTTGTAGCTCTGAATCAGTTTAATTGCTAGGTATCGATCGACACTAATGTAAAATGACGT